AGCCTCACACAGACCTTCAAACACTTAGAACAGAGGCTCCCATGTAAGCTGTTCCAAGGCAATTTGCTACAAAATGATGAGTCCTGTAACACACTATACTCCCTACAAAAGTGTTTCACCCTGTGTTACCTCATGTTGATTCTTCTTCCTGATGTGCTGTTTATATAGCTACTGATGTCACTGTAGAAACAGAGCCTCATAAATCCTTTTAATTCCTGCAGATCCTTTTAAATGTTTCTACGTAGGCGAAGCAAACAATATGGTCCTCATCTCCAGGTGACACCTCATCTGTTTTCCTCAGGCTCCAAATCAACTTAGACTTTCATCCAACACAGTTTTTCCAGTCCAGCACTCAAGGTGCCATCATGATGGCATTACAGCAGTCTGCTCAGCAGCAACAATATCCTCAGTATTAGGTTCTGTGGGATTAATGAGACTTGCACATGTTGAACAGAGGGTGAAAAGGGACAGGGAACATACAGCTTCCTCCAGCAATGCAAGAGGTCAGAGAACAAAGAGGAACAGGGCAGTAAAAGTATCCACATAAACAGCTATTATTTTGATGCAGATATTTCTGCTATGAACTTTTCCTAAAATCTTAATCCATAAGAACAATTTATTTGGATATTGAAAAGAAAATCTCCATGTTCAAGGACAAGCTAAAGATACACAAGAAATACCTCCATGTCAGGTCCTTGTGAGACTTATTTAAGCAAGTTGTTGCCCTCAAGAACAGGGAGGGGGGAAAAGCTTCTCTGGAGCAGTATCACCACTACCTCTTTCATCTTTCATTACGTTTGCCAGGAATCTAGAGTTACTGCCAGCACTAGTTTTCCATCACACAGCTCCCTCTTGCAGCTAGGCAAGTTGTCCTCTTAACCAAGAGCCAAAAGCAGGGCCTATACAAAAGCTGCCACATTATTCAGCAGGGTTTGGAGTAGCACAGATCTTGGAAAAAGCCTGGATGGCTGTTCCCAAAGCACCTCAGCCCCTCGAGTCCAGAACAATCCACTGACAGCTGGACTGACAGCGCTTCAGTTCTTCTATAGAGAAAAGCCTATACAGGGACCAATTGTCTAACCCAAACAACAGATGCAGTTACAAAGTCTGGTTTGCACAGCAGAATATCAAAGTATTCAAATTCCTTTACAGTCTGACAATCAAAGAAGAAGAACTGCAAAGAACACACTACAACACAAGGCCACCAGTTTCAGAGCACACCCAACAAGGAGCCATGTGCTCAGCATATTGCACGGGCACACAAACCGTATGGGAAACTTTCAAACTGTGCTGGATTTTGGCAAATGGCAGTGGCATAAAAGGGAATCAATCTGCACTAGAAATGGAAAGCAATGCAGCATTAAATAATGTGACTCAATCTAAGAGGAGGAAAACAGATCTCGGTCTTAATGCAACTATCTTACACTATCATTCCCTTATGCCCAGGAAGCCTGTAAGCAAATCTGAATACATGTGGTAAATTGACTTTTATTGTACAGTAACAGTCATTTTGACAGAAGCAAGGTAAGAACTGCAAGGAAAAAGAAAAACAACCCCCACAGACTGGATCTGGAAGGAAACGGGAGGGAGGTTGTGGAAACTGAGAGGACAGATGGGGAAGTAGGCTAACAAGCTTTTAGGATAGGCCTGTGTGACTTCCAACAAAGTAGAGGAGATTAATTGCATAGTGTTGTCTAAGCTCTACTCCATGAATTTTAATACATTGTTCAAAGCCATGCATACATTCATGGCATCTATGCAAATGAATAAGAACAGCATTTATATCCTAACTATATAGTGCAACCTTTCATTTGAAACAATTCCAGTAATCTTGATTATCTATTTACGGTTTATTTGCTATTACTCAAACATAGCTGCTGAGCTCTGCACAGGAAAGAAGGAATATTAAGTGTTGGATTAAGTACTCTGCAGCAATGGAGTGAACACAGACTGAGATTTTAACCAAGGACTTCGTAGTAAGAAAACACAGACCTTTAACAATCATCCAGATCAGACTGCTGCAGACAAAGAACTGAATGAATGGAAAGGGTTTCCTTTCCTTAAAGCCTAAAAGATGTGTGCTGAAGACAGCTACCTGTTCTGCACACACCTTTAACGTTCATCTTCTAATCCTTGCTGTGCAAGTCTCATTAAATGCTCTTAATCCCTCTCACATTTTAAGTCATGTGTACCCTTAGCTCCAAATACATCTCCCTATATGTAACCTTGCCATAAGACAGAAGCTAAGATTTCCTTCTGTAGTAGATGCTAAGACTGCTTTAGAGTACATGGAATGCATTTTCAAGGTCTCACTATTTAGAAATTGTATTTTAAGCTAGGCTCATGTCCCTCCAACAACAAGCTACCCAATAATGTGTGTTCTCATTGCTCTCTGTAACTTAAGACAAGAAAGTTTAAGTTTAAAAAAGCACAAACAAAGTGACCAGGAATGTTTCGGTGCCAGGGTACATCTCTTACGCTAGTTACTACTAAGAACATGTAAAATGTAATAAGCAGATTTTTACAGTTCAACGCAGGTATAAAATATCCCAGTTACCACAAGTTCTATGGCTTTCCTTGTTCTTTCACCATATGACCTTCTCCACATCAGATGCAACTCCTTTTCTTCAAACACTGCAGGAAGATGGGCCAAGAAAAAATGAAACCAACTGCCTAAGGCCAGCACTCATCTTTCACATCATTTACAGAGCAGCTTTCAAATCCCTTACCAGACCATGGAACCTCATCCAAACCCTGCCAAACAATCCTCATACAAAAAGGAATCGCTTCCTAGCTCCCCTATCACTGCTTCTGCAACCACCATCACCAACACACATTCCATGAAGTACTCTGCTTGTTAGAGAAGATTCTTCTCTCACACTACAAACCATGTGAGCTCCCTGAAAGTCCCCTAAAACCCAAGTGGTGCTTGGCCAGCACATAGAGCATCTGCTGCATGCAGGATCTCTGACACACTTCTATGCCTGTGCTGCGACTGGGGCTTTACTCCTGTTACAGTCCATAAACAAAATCTCTGGCAGTGTGTAACTGCTGGCAGGTCAGAGGGTACAACCCATAACTGAAGCTCCTGACACTCTGTATGTAGAGATTTCTCTCCTGAATGGAGACTCTCATCAAAACCCCAGCACGAACAACAAAAGCTCTCCCCACACTACCAGCACTTACAGGCTCTCCCCTCCTTTGTCACTAATGCAG